TTTGTGAGTCGAGGTAATTTGCCTGGGTTTAGCATTAATAAGGAATGCCCCAAGCAGTTGGGGTCAAAAAGAACAGACCTGTCAGGCCTCAGGGTTAATTTAATGGCAATCTGTTGGTTGTCTGGGTTGTATATTAGGCACGATCCCAGTGATATCTTTTGCTGTTTAGTTCTTTGAAACAACAGGGAAATAATTTAGATAGAGTGCTCAAAAGGATCAGATGGAGAAAACTGACTGTCAAAATACATCCTCCCATTTTCCAGAAATACAAGGCACCTTCCATTGCTTAGCGCCTTTTTCCCTCCTTCCCAATATGAAGGGGGAAGCATGTATGATGAAGCCACACATCTCCCTTTGGAACCTGAGAGAGAGATGGCCTGGGTTTCTGGGCATCCATGTGGCTCTCCTCCTGTCTTCCTCAGAAGACATCAAATTTTGCCAACTAGACTCTCTCCCACATTTCTAGAATTCAGCCAAGTCTTCCCTTAGAAAATAGGACAAGAAAGCCCTTGTCAGGTTTTTGTCCCAACTTCTAGTTCAAGCAAATCAATTATATCATAGGACATAAAAATTCTGGTTCTGGAAAATATCATCCTGGAAATGTAGCTGGTGGAGCTTTCAGGGGCATAATTCAAAGGAGATAGAGCCCTATCTGGGAAGCCAGTCATTGTTCCTCTAGAGCCAGATAAACCCACTCAGGGAAACTGGTCTGGTGGGGCCATTCCTCATAAAATGCAGTGTGGCTGCGTGTAAAGAATCCTTACACAAGCCTGAGTGTAAATCCCAGCTCTACCCATACAGTCCTATGGCCCTAAGACATTTATCTCAGAGGTCAGAAAAATGTCTCAGCAAGTCTCTTGCGACTAAGACTGATGGCCTGAGTTCAGTCCCCCAGACCCATGCAATGGAAGGAGAAAAATCAACTCCACCAATGTCCTTTGCGCACCTTGGCACATGTGTGCACATATACACACAAATAAATAATGCAAAGCCACAGTTACGCAGGTGACCTCTGGTAAGCTCATCGGGTTTCAAAGAAAATAAAAAAGCATATGAATATAGAAAAGGAACATAAAGGATGAAGGGTGGGCAGTGGTGGTGCACACTTTTAATCCCAGTACTTGAGAGGCAGAGGCAGGCAGATCTCTGAGTTCGAGGCCAGCCTGGTCAAAAAAAAAAAGATGAGAGGTTGATAGGAACAGGAGGGAGACAGAGGAGGGCGGGGTCAAAAGGAACCTGAATGTAATGAATACATGGATGAAAATGGCAAAGAACAAAAGCTTTTCCTGATTAGAAAGAAAAATTTATCTCATCTGTTTTGTCAGCTGTAAAACAGGATTATTAATGGTACTGACTTCATCTGCCTGGAATGAAGGATAAATGAGACTATAAGACACTTAGCCCAGGCATGCTCAACATCAAATGAGACTATAAGACACTTAGCCCAGGCATGCTCAACATCTGGTAGACACCAGCTACTAGCGATTGTGCTAAAAAAAAGATAGAATCATGGCTTCTTCCCTTGGCCAAACCTGAATCCAACCCAAGCACTGTATCAGGAGGGAGACTCAGACCTTGAAGAATCAAGTGGCTTCTGTTGTTCAAATCTTAAATAGTCTTTTAATTAAAAAAAAAAAAGCCAGATATCGGGGTGAAAGCTAAAAGATCAGAGAAGCAGAAGAGCCAGCCACTAGTTCTTACCTCCACGAAATCCTCAGCCTAAAGAGACTGAGTTCCTGTTTCCTCATGCCCTACATATCTTTTTCTGCCCAGACATCACTTCCTGGGATTAAAGGCATGTGCGCTTCCCAGTACTGGGATTAAAGGTATGTGCCACCACTGCCTGGCTCTGTTTCCAGTGTGGCCTTGAACTCACAGAGATCCAGATGGATTTCTGCCTCCCAAGTGATAGGATTAAGGGTGTGTGCCACCACTGCCTGGCCTCTACGTCTAGTCTAGTGGCTGGCTCTGTCCTCTGATCCTCAGGCAAGTTTATTAGGGTACACAATATATCACCACAGACTTCAGATGAAGGGTGGGTGGGAGGTGGGACAGATCTTGAAACAGCAGACAGAGGCAGATCCACCAGGCACTGCTCCAGGAAGACATCCTCGATGGTGGGAGGATACTCCCGGAGGCACAGACATGCTTAGGCACTTTGTTTTCTCATCTTCTGACTTTGGGACTTTATTTTTAGGTAGGAAAAAAAATAACTGTGGCTGTAGCACCTCCCTCGCCCACACAGCGAAGATCTCTTCCAGGGCAGTTTGTTTGCTGAGCTATACTGATAGAGGCTGAGAAAGCTGACATTAGATTTTCTCTCCTTTGGAAAAAAAGGAAAACATGCTTGCTGGCACCGTATGGTAGGGAGGTACTTTTTGATGGAATCTGACAGCAACTGAACAAGAACCTCTGCTTACCCTATCCAATGGCATACACACCAAGCCCAAGGCGCAGGTCAGCAGCCAGAAAGCACATCAGAGCTGCAGCCTGCAGCCCCTCCCAAGCTGTTTGGGTGTGTGCTCCAGGTGTGTATACCAAATGCAGAGGCTGAGTTGAGAGGCAGTGTTTTATTAATCCAGGAATACACATGCCCTGATAAACCAAGTCATCTTTGCATCTGGTTTTGGTAGATGAAAATGTGCCAAAAGGCAATGTTAGCACAGGCCTGTGCTAATTTTAGAAAGAATGCAACAGGATGCCTAAGAGAGAAATAGCAAGAGAGCACAGCCTGGTGCAAAGCCATTGGAAAAAATCCCATGCAGCAACAGCTCTAGCAGGAACCTAGGTGGTGTTTGCTGGTACATGTCTACATTAGTTAGTACATGGCTACCTAATTGGTGCTACTAGGGCTAAAAGTATGAGCATATTGCGTGTTCATGCCTGTGTCCATGCCAAAGAGGGAGCTGTGTTGCTTGCTTAGGCGAAAGCATCTCTACAATGGTCTGTGTCAAGCTAATGTTCAAAACGTTCACGCAACACGTTTTTTTCCAAAAGCGTGGCACAAAGATTCCTGGCCCACACATTTTCATTTTAATCACTATGTGTTCGTTTTCACATGGATGATGAAACCTATCATTTCATGAATGTTGGCTTAATGCTTAGACGAGATGAAAAAGTGAGGCAATCTAAAGAAAAAACTAGTGATGGGCAAACATCAAAAAGTGGAGTAGTGGAGTCAGGGAAATGCAGGTCCTCTTGCTCAGCTTTGCTGCTCCCCAATATCCACATAACAAAACACAGCTCATCCCCAGACAGAACCTCAGCTCCAGCCAGGAGCCTCCCAGACTCTTGGTAGGGATATGACAGGGCATATGCAAGCCAATTCCTTCACTTCTGCTATGTATCCTTTGGAAAGAATTTGTTTTTTATCTCCACTGAATTGCCTTTATAAATAAAAATCTAAATGTTTCATTCTGATATACAAGGATATAGCTTCAAAATATATATACATATAGATGTATATATATTACATATATATAATATATATGTATATACATAAAAAAAACAAAGGAATATACTGGGGAGGTGGGAACTTAGAGGCTAAAACTGAGTATATCCCCCATGATCCCAAATCCCTCACTATACATAGATGGAATCTTTCTGACACTTCAACTCCCACCCAACACCCCAGCCCTAGCAAATCACAGCTTATGGACTAAAAAGCCTGTTCATCTCAAAGGAGAGAAACTGGGCAATTGTGAAATCTCTCAGGCTTTGCACCTGGAGAGAAGTTCCAGTATTGTCAATCACTAGCTGTGGCTGGTGATTGATGCAGATTGATAGATTGATAGGTAGATAGATAGATAGATAGATAGATAGATAGATAGATAGATAGATAGATAGGTAGATAGGTAGATAGATAGACAGAGATAGAGATAGAGATAGAGAGATAGTGTCTGTCTGTGTATGTGTAGGTGAGTAGTGAATGTGTTCCTCAGCATGCCTGTGGAAGTCAGAATACAGCTTGTGGAAGTTAACTGTCTCCTACTTTGTGGGTCCCAGAGATCAAACTCAGATCAGTCAGGCTTAGCAGCAAGCACCTTCACCTGCTGAGTATCTCCCCAGCCCGTTAGCCTTGTCTCTTGCGGAAACTTCTGGAATGCTCACAGAGCCCCCACTTCCAGCCCTGAAAATGGGTGTAAAGCATGCTATTCATAGTGTTGTTAGAAGGATAAAATGAGACAAAGTTCAGGATATGTGCACTGAGAGGCTCTTTAACAAACCCTCATGAGTGGCAGCTGCTGCTGTTATATGGATAGTTCATGGGAGAGGATTTGCAGCCTGTTGTAGGTTTCATTAATTACCCCAGAGATCCCAGTAAGAGTTCAAATTCAATAGTTTGGCTAGAGTGGGCCTAGCTGGATCCCGAGCTACTGCTGTAGAGTGGGAAACACTCTCAAGTGATCTCATGGCCAAGTATGAGTTTGTCTTCTACATGTCACAGAAGATAAAATAGAGATGGGGGCCGGGCGGTGGTGGTGCACGCCTTTAATCCCAGCACTCGGGAGGCAGAGGCAGGTGGATCTCTGTAAGTTTGAGGCCCACCTGTGCTACAGAGTGAGTTCCAGGAAAGGCGCAAAGCTACACAGAGAAACCCTGTCTCCAAAAAAACCAAAAAAAAAAAAAAAAAAAAAAATAGAGATGAGGAGTCAGGAAACTTAAGTTCATTGGGACAGGGTTTCACAGTGTGGCCCAGGCTAGACTGGAACTCACAGCAATCCTCTTGCCTCAGCTTCCTGAGTTCAGTCATTAGAGTCATGAGCCACCACACCCAGCTTAGACCTTAGTTCTCCCTCTGACTACTGGGCAGCCCCCATCCCTTAAAGTCCCTGAGCCTCAGCTGCCAGAATTTACCGCTGCCTGCTCCTCGGCTAACAGCCTCCCTTTGAGATGCCCCTGTGCATGGTAAATGTTCCCGTAGCACTCACAGCAAGGGCTGCTAAGGCCCCAAACTCGGGCCCCCTTCTTCTCGGTCCTCCTTGACTCGCCTGTGCCAGATATCGTGGACATCAAGCCAGCCAACATGGAGGAGCTCACAGAGGTGATCACCGCGGCCGAGTTCCACCCCCATCACTGCAACACCTTTGTATACAGCAGCAGCAAGGGGACAATCCGGCTGTGCGACATGCGGGCATCCGCCCTATGTGACAGGCACACCAAGTGTGAGTATCAGCACAAGGGTCTGGGGTGAAAGGCGGGGGAGGGGGGGGGAAGGGGTGAGTGCTGGGATTAAGGGCGTGTGCCACTGCCACCCGGCATCAGAAAATTATTTTTATTGCTACTTCATAGCTGTAATTTTGCTACTGTTGTGAATCATAATATAAATATCTGATATGCAGGATATCTGATAGGCAAACCCCCCAAAGGGGTCATGACCCACAGGTTGAGAACCACTGGGTAGGCAAAGCAGGGAAGGAAGGAGGTAGGCGTAAACGCAGGGGTAGGGGAAGTGGGGCACGCCCAATGACTGATAAAAATGGCATGTGGGATGGGGGCTACGGGAAGTCATACTAGGCATGAAGCATTTGTGTTCAGTTTGGGACCTGTTGTGTGTGTGAGGTAACATGAGCTACCTTAAGAGACAGGTTCTCCCTGGTAAGTGAATATGGAACCAGGTGGGTGGACCACCAGCTGAAGATATTTCTGAGGGGCCCTAAGAAGCTGTAATGCCCTCCCAGCCAATGTGACAGATACTAGCCTGGGCTTTAGAGTCAGGAAGGCCCGCATGAGTCCTGAATGCAGAGGAATTAACTGATTGAAAAAATTGCTGAGCCCAGAACTCAAGCTGGAGAATGGACAACGCTCTCGGAGGTTTTTAAGTAAGAATGGTTTAGAATGAACGGTACTTGAGTAGAGCTAAACCCTGGCACTTGGTGCCTATGTGACCTCAGGCAATGCTCCTGAGCCCCACAGTCCTCCCAGGGCATGTGGGCAGAAGAGATCAACAGTGCTACATGAATAAGGCAGTGCTGGTGTCTTCTGAGCATGAGGCGGGAGCAATAGATGGCAACCAGAATGGTTTCCATCCTCCAGAAGCCCCGAAGCCTGTGGCTGTAAGGTAGTCAGAACCTCTACCCTTTTGCCAGGTACAGGAGGCCCCATCATTCACTATTCGTATTCACCAAGCACGTACCATATGCCAGATATATCCAACTCTGGAGACACAAGAATGAGCAAAAGCAGATGTTCTTCTCTCTGTCTCTTGGAGCTCACTGTATTAGCAAGGTCTTGCAGAGCAGGGGGAATGGTGGGTGGCATATGTAAAGAGATTTATTATTAGGAACTGGCTCACATATGAAGATTGAGTCCTGAGATCTGCTGCAGTCAGCAAGCTAAAGTTCTGGGATCGGCAGCAGTCTTCCATTCCACATGCCACCGGGCTGAAGACCCAAGTGCCTCATTTCAACTCCAATGGGTAATCACCACAACCCCCCAAATCAGTCAGGTGGAGAGAGTCAGGTGGACACTCAGAAGAGGACCAACACTTTCTGCCAATCAGCCCTTCGCCTGATTGGATGAGGCTCATCCACATTAAGAGGTCAATATTTATTCAGTCTATTAATTTAAATGTTAAACTTATCCCAAAACACCCTTGCAGAAACACCAGAATGTCAGACCAAGAAGCTGAGCACCTGTGACCAGTCAAGTTGACAGAGAAAACTAAGCACACTGAAGATTAAAGACACCTGCCTCCATTAGAGAATCACAAACAAATAGAGTGTGGCCGGTGTGCTGAGTGGCATGAAAGAGTAGCGTGTTAGGCTGTCAGTTAGCATCGTGCGGACCTTACAAAGCATTGATTACTGATCTGAAACGCAAAGACCAAGGAGTGAGAAGAGTCCAGGGAAGGGTCATCTATGCCCACAGAAGCAGGAAGACTATCAGGACACACACCCAGGAGCCCCCAGGGTCTGCTGCTCTCTCCAACCCTGGTGCCACACACCCCTACAAGATCAAAGTCCCGAGGACAGTCCTTAGGGAGACCCAGGAGCTAGTGAGTGAGTGCATTGCAAGCCTTCATCAAACCTGCCCATTACCCCCTCCAGCCTAGCCCAGCTTTTCACTGCAAGGCACCAGCCTGTTAATCTAATTAAGAAGAAATAGATTCATTTTCCTGACTGGGCCAAAAAGCTGACCTTCTTCAGGGCACACCTCTTTTTGTTCCAAAGCCACCCAGCCCCAGCTCCTGCCAACTGGGGAGGCCTGTGTTCTGACCTCCTGCCTGACATCTCATATTGATTTTCTCCATTCTCCTCCAATGCCAGCCTGCAGTGGGCTGAGGCTCCGGCGAGGTGTGTGAGAGGCACAAGACAGTTCATCAGAGTTCAAAATGAAAGGCAACATTGGCTTTCCGAGATGAGCACCGAGGAGGAGGGTATTTAATAACCGTCGGCGTTTAATCAAAACGCCGAGGAAAACCGTGTTATCAGAGCCGAATATATTAATTTCCATATGTCCCTCACTCTGCATGCTCAGCAGGGGTTGGAAGGGATGATTTGCCCTCTCCCTCTCTATTTTCTGATTTTTTTTTCCATTGCTTCTGACAGCAGTGAGGTGTTTGCATTGGTAGTCTGAGGCGCCTGAGACAAAGGGTACTGATACAGTGAGGCTCTGCTGGGCTGACCCTGCTTCTTTCTTTCCACACACATGTCCTGGGAAGTGGGTGAAGGAACTGGCCAGGTGATATGAAAGCCAGCCTAAAAACTGAAAGAGTTAAAACCCGAGCTCCTGTCCTGCACCCACAAGGATCATCTTCTGACCCCGTCTCCACCCTCCAGGCTCCAGGGAACCTGACCACACTGGCCCTCTTCCTGTACCGCCAACATTTTTAGCCCCTTCCTGCCCTGGGGTTTTTGCATAAGTTCTTCCTCTGTCTGGAACACTCTTCCACCATAACCCTCAATTATCATGTGACTGCTGTGGAGCCAGATTGAGCACTTGTGGGAGAGAGACAAGTAGATGGTACATAGACCTATGAGAGGAGGTGTATTCACTTACCAAAGATGCTTTAGCCAAGTGCCCCTAACCAACTAACAGCAAAATGTTACTGTCTCATAATTCTTTATTTCAATTTTTCAATTTTATTTAGTGGGGGGCATGTGTTGTAAATGCGGGCATGCATATACCACATCTTTATTCATTCTGTTCATGTAAACACTAAGCTCACATGAAGGTCAGTGGACAGCTTTCAGGGGGTAGTTCTCTCCCTCCTTCTACCTGTGTGGCAGGGTCTCTCCTGTTACTTCTACTGCACTGTGCACTAGTCTAGCTGTCCTGCAAGCGCCTGACCAGTTCTTCCATCTTGGCCTCCCATGTTTCCATAGAATTGCTGGGATTGCAGATATGCACTGCTGTATCCAGCATTTTTATGTGGACTCTGGAATCAAGCACAGGTTTTCAGGCATTCTTACCAGCTGAGCTATCTTACTGGGCCCTGACTCAGTTCTCAGAATGGTGTCAGCAGGCAGGAGAGCCATCTTCTCCCTGTGTGTACACATCATCTTTTTCTCTCTCTCTCTCTCTCTCTCTCTCTCTCTCTCTCTCTCTCTCTCTCTCTCTCTCTCTCTCTGTGTGTGTGTGTGTGTGTGTGTGTGTGTGTGTGTGTGTGTTCAAAATCCCCCTTTATAAGAGTCATCTTGGGTTAGGGCTTATCTAGTGATGTCATGTCTAGGAGATCACCTCTTTTAAGCCTCAGTCTCTAAAAACAGTCACATTCTTAGGCATGGGACAAGATAGGACCTCTGCATGTTAGTTATGGGTGGCAAAAATTTGGCTCCTACAGGAGGGAAGAGATGAGAAATTCTGCAAGTGGGCAGGTGCAGGAGCTTCCTGTCCCTTCCTGCGGGCCATTGCTTTACCCCCAGGCAGTAAGGACAGAAAAAGATCCCAGACATCAGGCTCACGCAGTCTTCAGACACAGTGAGCGCAGGAAGTGTGACCCTTTTGAAAAGCAGTGCAGAGATGGAGGACCAAAGGCACAGACCACAAGGACTGTAAGGCAGAAAGGCACAGACCACAAGGACTGTAAGGCAGAAAGGCACAGGACCACAAGGACTGTAAGGCAGAAAGGCACAGATCACAAGGACTGTAAGGCAGAAAGGCACAGACCACAAGGACTGTAAGGCAGAAAGGCACAGACCACAAGGACTGTAAGGCAGAAAGGCACAGACCACAAGGACTGTAAGGCAGAAAGGCACAGACCACAAGGACTATAAGGTAGAAAGGCTTCAAGGTCCTGACTTTAGGGAGAATGCCGTCTGGGAACTTTCCGTGGTCCTGAAGCAGTTTTCCTTCCAAAGAAGATTTTGTTTCAGAGGTTCTAAGCTAAGAAGTCTGTTTCCTGCTCAAAAGTCACCCTTCAGTGACAATAAGTAGAATTTGAGTTTATTAATAAGTCAAACCATGTTAGCAACATAAAAGAAAAAGGGCAGAAATGTTGATAGTAAATTATAAAGAACTTTGTTTGAAAATAAGTCTTCATTATCCGTTTGTCTGAAATGAACGTAAATTTGCATACTAGCTAAAAAGAAAAAAAGAGTCAGGGAAACTCACAATTGGGACTGGGATATGCTGAAGGAGTGGAGAGAACTGACTTTCTAGGGTTCTGTGGACTTGAAGACAAGAACAAGTGAGTTGCCTGTGATGAACTTAGTGAGCTGCAAAGCAGCAAAGTAAGAATGACTGTGCCCAGAGACCATCAGAGACTAGCTGCAAGGAAGGATGCTGGATGGCCTGGAACGTGGGGCTGTCCTCTAGACTGACCCTAGGTTGGAGCTGTACACGTATAATTTAGAGAGAGTCCATAAATAGAAGGGAAGTGCCCTAACTCCACTATGGGATCTGCAGGAAAAAGCAACACTCCCTACACTCCTAAGGGCCCATCAGAGGCACAGGAGGTGTGCCAGGTGGTGTGGAGTCCTGCCTGGTGTCCCCTCCACACAAGGCCCAGGACAGCTTTGCTCTTTTTCCTTCTGGACAGCAGTGAGTGGACTCAGAGACTGGGTCAGGAGTACAAGGAAGACCAGGTGACCACTCTCAGCCTGTGACACACTGGCCAAACTGAGCAATCTTGAGCAGGTTACCTCTCTCTCCCTGTTTTCTCACCTGCAAAAAAAAAAAAAAATGGCTAGTGGTTGTACTTGCCTTGTAGGTAGTTGGAGGA